CTGTTGGTGGGAATGTAAATTAGTTCAACCATTGTAGAAGACCATGTGGCAATTCCTCAAAGATCTAGAACCAGAAATACCATTTGACCCAGCAATCCCATTACTGAGTATATACCCAAATGAATATAAATCATTCTATTATAAAGATACATGTACACACATGTTCACTGCAGCACTATTCACAATAGAAAAGACATGGAATAAACCCAAATGCCCATCAGTGATAGACTGGATAAAGAAAATGTGGTACCTATACACCATGCAATACTATGCAGCCATAAAAAGGAATGAGATCATGTTTTTTGCACAGACATGGATGGAGCTGGAATCCATTATCCTTAGCAAGCTAACGCAGGAATAGAAAACCAAACACCACATGTTCTCACCTATAAATGGGAGCTGAACAATGAGAACACAAGGACACATGGAGAAGAAAGGGGAACAATACACACAGGGGCCTGTTGAGGGGTGGGGTGGAGGGAGGGAGAGCATTAGGAAAAATAGTTAATGCATGTGGGCCTTAATAACTAGGTGATGCATTGATAGATGCACCAAACCACCATGGCACACATTTACCTATGTAACAAACCTGTACATCCTGCACGTATGCCCCAGAACTTAAAATAACAAAATAAATTTTAAAAAAGAGAGGTTAAAGTGTAGAGTTTTTATTAGTTTTCTTTTTGCTTATTTGTTTGTTTGTTTATGCAAGCAGTATTAAGTTCTTATCAGCTTAAAATAAAGGGTCATAAGACAGCATTTGCAAGGCTTATGGTAACCTCAAATCAAAAAACATAGAATGGATACACAAAAACGAAAAGTATAAAATTAAATCAAATGACCAGAAAAAAATCACCTTCACTGAAAGGAATACAGAAAGAAAACAAGAAAGAGAAGACCATAAAACAAACAGAAAACAAGTAACAAAATGACAGGAGTAAGTCCTTACTTATTAATAATAACATTGAATATAAATGGACAAAACTCTCCAATCAAAAGACATAGAGTGGCTGAATGGATTTTAAAAAACAAGAGCTAATGATCTGTTGCCTACAAGAAACACATTTCACCTATACACAGACTGAAAGTAAAGGGATGGAGAAAGATATTCCATACCAATGGGAACAAGAAAGAGCTAAAGTGGCTATACCTATATCAGACAAAGTAGATTTCAAGATAAAAACCATAAGGAGAGACAAAGAAAATCACTAGATAATGATAAAAGGGTCAATTCAGCATAAGATATAACAATTGTAAATATGCATGCACCAAACAGTGCAGCATCCTGATATATAAAGCAAATGCTATTAGAACGAAAGACAGACATAGACTCCAATAAAATAATAGCTGGAGATTTCAACATCCCACTTTTGTCATTGGACAGATCTTCCAGACAGAAAATCAACAAAGACACATTGAACTTAATCTGCACTACAGAACGCATGGACCTACTACGTATTTAGAGAACATTTTATCCAACAGCTGAACATTTTATCCAACATTATTTTCCACAGCACATGGATCATTTGCAAAGACAGATCATATGTTAGGTCACAAAACAAGTCTTAAAACAGTCAAGAAAATTGAAATAACATCAAGCAGCTTCCCTGACCACAATGGAATCAAACTAGAAATCAATAACAAGAGGGATTTGGGGAACTATGCAAACATACGGAAATTTAAAAATATACTCCTGAATAATCAGTGAGTCACTAAAGACATTAGAAAGAAAATGGAAAAATATATTGAAACAAATGATCATAGAAATGCAACCTACCAAAACCTGTGGGATACAGCAAAAGTAGTACTAAGAAGAAAGCTTATAATTATATGTGGCTACATCAAAAAATAAAAACTTTAAATAAGCCAGCTAACAATGCATCTTTAAAAGTTAGAAAAGCAAGAGCAAACCAAACCCAAAATTAGTAGAAGAAAAGAAATAATAAAGTTCAGAGCATAAATAAATAAATTTGAAACAAAGAAAACAAAAGAAAAGATCAAAAAGTGCAAAGTTGGTTTTCTGAAAAGATAAAGAAAATGGACAAACTTTTAGCCAGACTGAGAAAAAAATAGAGAAGACTCAAATAAATAAAATCAACAATGAAAAGGGACACATTATAACTAATACTGCAGAAATCCAAAGAATCATTAGTGGCTACTATAAGCAACTATCTGCAATAAATTGGAAAATCCAGAAGAAATGGATAAATTCCTACATGCATAAAACCTATTAAGACTGAACCATGAAGAAATCCAAAATCTGAATAATCCAACAACAAGTAAGGAGATGAAAGCCATAATAAAATGTCTCCCAGCTAAGAAAAGTCCAGGACTCAGTGGCTTCACTGCTGAATTTCATTAAACATTTAAAGAAGAACGAATATCAATCCTACTCAAATGATTCAGAAAAATAAAGGAGGAGGGAATACTTCCAAAGTCATCCTGCAAGGCCAGTGTTACCCTGATACCAAAATCAGACAAAGACACATAAAAAAGAAGAAAATGACAGGCCAATATCACTTATGAATATTGATCCAGAAATTCTCAACAAAATACCAGCAAACTGAATTCAACAGTACATTATGATGATCATTCATCATGACCAAGTGGGATTTATCCCATGGATGCAAGGAGGGTACTATATATGCAAATCAATCAATGGGATGCATCATACCAACAGAATGAAGAACAAAAACCATATAATCATTTCAACTGATGTTGAAAAAACATTTGATAAAATTCAACATCCCTTCATCACAAAAACTCTCAAAAAAATGGATATAGAAGACACATACCTCAACATAATAAAAGCCATATACAACAGGTCTATAAATAGTATAATACTGAATGGGGAAAAACTGAAAGCCTCTTCTCTAAGATTGGGAACATGACAAGGATGCTCATTTTCACTACTGTTATTCAACACAGTACTAGAAGTCCTAGCTGGAGCAGTCAGACCAGAGAAAGAAACAAGGGCATCCAAATTGGAAAGGAAGAAGTCAAATTATCCCTGTTTGCAGATGATATGATCTTAAATCTGGAAAAACCTAAAGACTTCCCCCCAAAACTATTAGAACTGATAAACAAATTCGATAAAGTTGCAGGAGACAAAATTAACAAACAAAAACCAGTAGCATTTCTGTATGCCAAAAGCAAACATCTGAAGAACAAATCAAGAATGTAATTCCATTTACAATAACCACAAATAAAATGAAATACCTAGGAATTAACTTGAAGCAGTGAAAGATCTGTACAGTGAAAACTATAAAGCATAGAATGCAAGAGAGAAAAGAAGACACACAAAAATGAAAGATATCCCATGGTCATGGATTGGAAGAATTAATATTGCTAAAATGTCCATACTAACCAAAGCAACCTATACATTTAATGTAATCCTTATCAAAATATCAATGACATTCTTCATAGAAATAGAAAAAAAAAAAATCCTAAAATTTAAATAGAACCAGAAAAGACCCAGAATAGTCAAAGTTATCCTAAACAAAAAGAACAAAACTGGAAGAATCATGTTACCTGACTTTATCTTACAGAACTACAGTAACATGGTACTGGCATAAAAAGAGACACATGGATCAGTGAAAGAGAATAGAGAACGCAGAGATTAATCCATACATCTATAGTGAATTCATTTTTGACAAAGGTGCCAAGAAGATATTCTGGAGAAAGGACAGCATCTTCAATAAATGGTGTGGGTCAAACTGGATATCCATATGCAAAAAAAGAAAGAAAAAGAAACTGTACTCCTATCTCTCACCATACATAAAAATCAAATCAAAATGAATTAAAAATTAAATCTAAGACTTCAAGCTATGAAATTACTAAAAGAAAACATTGAGAAAAGTCTCCAGGACACTGGACTGGGCAAAGATTTCTTGAGTAATACCCTACAAGTTCAGGCAATCAAACCATAAATGGACAAACTGGATCACATCAAACTGAAAAGCTTCTGAACAGCAAAGTAAGCAATCAACAAAGTGAAAAGACAACCCACAAAATGGGAAAAAAGATTTGCAAACTATCCATCTGACGAGTGGTTAATAACCAGAATATATAAGGAGCTCAAACGACTCTATAGGAAAAAAACTTATGATCTGAATTGAAAATAGGCAAAAGATCTGAATAAACATGTCTCAAAAGAAGACATAAAGATGGAAAACAGGTATATGAAATGGTGCTCAACATCATTGATCATCAGAGAAATGCAAATCAAAACAATGAGATATCATCTCATCCCAATTAAAATGGCTTATATCCAAAAGACAGGCAATAACAAATACTGGCAAGGATATAGAGAAAAGGAAACCCTCGCACACTCTGGGCGGGAATGTAAATTAGTACAACCACTATGGAGAATAGTCTGGAGGTTCCTCGATAAACTGAAAATAGAGCTACCATAGTATCCAACAATTCCACTCCTAGGTATACGCCCAAAAGAACGGAATTCAGTATATTGAAGAGATATCTGCCTTTCCATGTGGATTACAGCACTATTCACAATAGCCAAGATTTGGAATCAATCTAAGTGTCCATCAACAGATGAATAAAGAAAATGTGATACATATACACATAGAGTACTATTCAGCTATAAAATAATGAGTTCTTGTGATTTGCAACAACATAAACGGAACCGGAGGTCACTGGGTTAAGTGAAATAAGCCAGGCACAGAAAGACGAACTTCACATGTCCTCATTTATTTGTGGGCACTAAAAATTAAAATAAGTAGAAGGATGGTTGCCAGAGGCTGGGAAAGTTAGTGGGGAGATGAGAAGAAAGTGCAGATGGTTAATGGGTTCAAAAATACAGTTAGCATAAAACCTAGTATTTGATAGCACAACAGGGTGACTATAGTACATTTTTAACTGTACATTTTTAAATAACTCAAGGAGTATAATTAAATTGTTTTTAACACAAAGGATAAATGCTTGAGGTGATGAATACCCCATTTACCCTGATCTGATTAATACACATTACATGCCTATATCAAAACATCTCTTGTAACTCATAAATATGTATCTACTATGTACCCACAAAAATTAAAAATAAAATCTGGCTAGCACAACTAAAAACAATGGGGGAACAGAATATAATATGTAAAGAGTCTGATTTTTCTTATCCACTGGATTAGGAAAAGAACAGCAAACAAGATTTATGAGCTTAGACTCATTGTAGGCCTCTCCTTAAATAAATGTCGCTGAGGATCCATAATGTGTACTTCAGAAAAGAAAATATTTTTCTTTTAAGAAATGACATGCACCCTGAGTTTTCCAAGAAAAACATCCACCTCTTTCCATGTGAAATGTTTGTCACTCCCTTTCACTGAAGATATTATTGGGCTTCTACAGGAGAGGTAGAATTTATCATTCAGCACAAGATATACACTTTGGGTTTCCAAGAAAGTATTTGGATTGTAACAAGCTCTGATTTTTTAAAACAAGCCCATGTATCAATGTACAAATAAGGGTTTTCTTAGACATTCTTGGATGTCTAAATGCCTAAAGAAGTGGTTCTTAAGGGTAACACATACACATTTAAGAGTAATATACTATTTATATACCCCACCTGGAGCCTGAGAGATGCCACAAAGGCCCCAGCTGACTAAGACCTTTATCCATCCAGCAGTTATCTACTGTGGTGAAGCTTAGATCTCAGATAAACAAAGATTTAAGATGAATTTTTACTTCTCAATTTTCATCTAACTGCCTCTAGCTGACTGGCATACTCTACTTTGGAAAGTTTTCAGATTTGAACCATAGGTGGGTGTGGTGGATAAAGATGAGCGAGCTGACAGATTTGTGTGGGAAAGCACATGCTATCTGTCAGACTATCTTTATAAAATGGAAAAAGGCACTTTATAAATGAGAAAATCTGGCTCAAAAAGTATATGGATTAAACACATAAATCTCTTACCGGTTTTGTTTCTCTGGAGAACCTTGACTAATACAGATGTCTGTTAGATGTTAGGTTCTGAAATGTAGTACTTGCTTGGTTGAATATGAGTAAGATTCCAGAACTCCATTCTGATCTGTTATTTCATTAAAATGACCCTGAAGTACAGTAGTCCTTCTCCTTTTCATCACTGGCATTTATGAAGCATATACTGGGGGTAAAGTCCTATCCTAGCCTTTACAGGAAAGCAAAAGCATAATTCCTATGTTTGTAGAACTTATACTCTATATTATTTCCCTCAAATATATGATCCCACTCTGTAAGGTTCTGTCATGGCTAAACCACTTAGTCCAAATTATTCACTAGGAATATAAAAAGTGGTTGGAGACCTCAAAGATATTTATCTCAATATTTTCCTTCTCTTCTTATATTACCTGAGGACTTTCATCTTCTGCACACCTTTTTATTTTGTTTTGTTAGAATTGAAAAGTACTTTTATCTGGACATCAAAGCTATCACTTCACCAAGAACAGGTTATAGCTAAATCATAACATCTCTCTTCGAATATCCTTCAGTAGTGATCAGAGATCAAGAATAAAGTGCAATGAACTTTTATTCTTAAACGGCAAAACATTTTAAGGGTCAAGGATTTTTTCAATACTGATACTACACACACTGAAAATTTGGATGTGTTATGTTTTGTGCAGAAGGGAAAGGAGTAATACCCATCAATTATTAGAAAGTCCATTGTGCAACTCTTGACTGTTGTATCTTCCAACCTAATCATTTGTTTAATTGATGTTAGTTACAGTTTTTTTTTCATGTCATAAGTTTATTGACAAACATATCTAGTATGCCATGAGTTAGAGTTTGATCCATTTCCAGAGGCTGTATCTCTTAAAATGCTCTTCATATCTGTTAAATGGACGAACTGAAACATCCTTATGATTTAAGCAGTTGGTGTCTTACTATAAGGAAGGGTGCAGCAAATGCAGATCCAAAGTACAAACACAACTAGTAACGCCCACTTGTTTTCCACTGAAAATGGCAAATTCTTTCCAGGGGCCTCCTCATAGTGGCTCCTACGACCACAGAGGTTGTGAACCTCCGGATGCCGTGGCCCAACATAGCGCTGCTGGAAGCTCTGCGAAAGGCGCAGAGACCGAGGACGGATGAAATGGCGGCATCTCCGATGTTAGTTACATTTTTAAGGTCCTTAAATGATTCAAGTATATATTTGTTAACTTCCAAGTGGATCATCTGTCTGGTTTGAGTTTTGGTGGAACAATTTTAAACATACTATCTATTATAATGAGGACAGAGCAACAATATGATCACCATCTAATGTCTGCTGTTAGCTAATTGACCTTAGCTGCCACCTGAATCTCCATGCCTTTTCTCCTGATGACTCTTCTACCTGGAATCTGCTAGCCCCAACCTTCCCCTGGCAGTCTCCTTGTTGCTGAGACGTCAGCTCAAATGTTGCCAATTTAGCAAGACTTTCTCTGGCCAATCTAAGTATTCTCCATCCCCACACAAAGACACTCTATGAAATAAGTGTCTTATTTTACTCCTAACACTCTTTACTACCTGATTCTTTTTCATTTTATTTATTTGTTGTATTCTTTTTAAGGAAATGATAACCTTATGAGTACAGATATTGTGCCTTATTGACTGGTGTATCCCAAGTGTCTGAAATGGCATTTGGAACACAGTAAATGCACAATCAGGGAATAAATGAATGAAATCATATACATAAACTATATGTTTTTAAATACAACTTATCAGGTCTGAAAAAGCCAATTCAATTCACTCGTTTTTCATTGACTTAATTTGTACATATCAAATGTTTAATTATCCGAGAAAATCTTCTTCAACTTCTCTCCAAATTACTCCAAAACTGCAAGCATCGTATGCAGAGTTATTCTACAAAAAATCCTTATAAAAATCTAACACAAAGCTATGAAGAAAGATAACATCGTATCAAACTTTCTTTTGTGCCTTTTTGTTTTTTTAACATAATTTCAGTAAAGAACAGAGCTGACCTATGCAATAAATTGGTTTTTTGTTTGGCTTTAAATTTCTACCACATGCTAGAGCTAGCGGGGGAGAAAAGGGAGTGAGAAGATACTCAGATGAAACTAACAGAATCTCTTACCACCAGGCCTGCACAGTTGAATGAGAGGGTCAACAGAGAAATCAGTTACCTCTATGTTTAATGACATCAGAGGTAGGCTGAAGACCCCAGCTGCAGACAATTTCTGTGTTCCTCCCACTTATTGATTAGTATCAATAATGATGAAGGTACAATAGTTCTATCTGAGAGCTACTTGTGTTTAACTTGGCTCATATTAAAGAAATGAAGGCAAGTCATAAATAAAAGCCACAAAGAACATTCAGAAAACCATGCATGCATTTATTTTTAACTTTCATGTACCTAATGGTCTGTTTAAAGGAAAACTCTACCTCAATGAAAAACATAGGTCCACAAACATTCCCAAATATAATTTCCAAAATCAGTTTTTTAGACATATAAACACCCTCTGCGTGCACACATATGCATCTTCTTATACTTAATGACAGACTTGATACTCTAGAACTTTGAAATTTTGATATTTGTGTGTCATTATTTTATCGCACTTTGACAAGCTGAAGCAGGTAAGTTCTGGGATTATGCTATACTACATCTGCAAGGTACATTTTCATATATAGAGGTGACTGTTTACACTTTTGGTTAATATACAGTATGTGAAGCATCTAAGGGCTTTTTTTCTCAATAAATGGCAAATCCTTTTAATAAATTCAATGTGCCCACTTCATTTAATTTTTGAAAATGCCTCTAGTGAGAAAAAATATGTAATATAAAAGCAAATCTACTTTCTCTACTTTAGAAATCAATGGAAACCACAAATTTTAAAATAATCATGTTTCATTATGTATGATTTTTCTTTAACGATTCCCTTGAGCTCTCCATGTTACTGAAGGAAGTCAAAGCAGCAGGTTGAGCTACCTTTTTAGGAGTGATTTTTCATGAGAGAGCAATGCAAGTAAGAACATCATCCTTTTTGATGATTTCAGAAATATAGCAGGCAAATTCCTCATCTAGCCTTCAATAAATATTAATGCCATTTGGATGGTGAATAAAATATTCTTGAAGGGTCTGTGACCAGATAAACCAGTATTAGATCTAAAAAGTGGTTTTACCCATTGATATCTAGCCATCAAATGAAAAGAAAAAAGACTTTTACTCATTCATCTGTTCATTCCACCAGTATTTTGGGGGTATCCATTGAATCACAAGCAGAAAGTGCTCTTCAGTGGGATACTCAGGGTTGACATTCTACAACTAAGGCACAGGGACACCGACACAGAGCAGACCTGCAACAGTGCCAGGGCAGATTCTGGGGGCTATTTAGTCCTTCTGCTGCTGGAGAATGAGGAAATCTGGGGAGCCCTGGGTAGGTTCAGGGCAGTGGAGGTGGTGATGCAGTCTTGGGCAACTTGGAAGAGCATCTATTTGCCAAGGAGTGAGGAAGTACTTCAACATTCTAACAACCCACTGAGTCATTAAGGAGCACAGAGGAGGTGTACTGACCCCAGACTGCGGGCTTGTGAATGTAGGGGTCAGTGTCCAGGTAAAAGAACCAGGGAAGGAAGCTCCTAAAACATCAAATGAGAGTGAGTGGTCAGCAGATGATTCCAACCACTACTTATCCTTCAACTTTTTACCTTTACAGTCAAAAGTGACCTCCAAAAACCTCAAATTGAAAATAACCCAGACTGGGCCTACAAGCAGATGTATATGATTTAACTGCAAAGATTGAGGCATAATGTCTGAGGGGGACTGGAGCTATAAAGTGCTGGTGCAATCTGAATGGGAGGCAGGGAGGAGAGAAAGACAAGGCTGGAGAGCTGGGCAGTGACCGGATGGTAGGTGCTCTTCTGCACCTTGTTACAGAGGGCTTGGGCTCCAACAAGTTATACTAGAAAGCCATGGGAGTGCTTAAAACAGGAAAATGACAGGCCTAGATAAGTATTTTCGACAGTTCACCCTGGCTTCTATGCAGGGGTTGGCTTGAGGAGCAAAATGGTGAAGGTTGGAAGGCTAAACAGGAGGAAGTGTAATCAGTAGTGAATACCCTGCACTTCTCTACAGCTCCATGGCAAGGTCCATGACCATGATCAAAGCTAGTTATGGTGGCCCAAACCACAAGAAGAGATGAGAACTTTGGAAAATAATCTAGCAGTTCTTCAAAGTATCTGTCAATGACTAGATGTAGAATTACCATATGGCTCAGCAATTTTACTCTAAAGTATATGCACAAGAGAAATAAAAAAATATGTACACACAAAACTGTACATGAACATTCACTTTAGCATTATGTGTAACAGTCAAAAAGTGGATCAACTCAAATGTCCATCAACTGATGAATGGGTAAGCAGAATGTGGTACACATGTACATGGGAATATTTAGTCATAAAAGAAATGAAGTACTGATACATGCTACAACATAAATGAACCTTAAAAATATGGTGCTAAGTGAAACAAGCCAGTCACAAAGGGCCACGTATTGTATGATTTCATTTGTATGAAATATTCAGAATAGGCAAATCTATGGAGACAGAAAGTGGATTAGTGGTTGCTTATGACTGAGGGAGGGGAGGAAGGATGGAGAGATTGGGGGTGATAACTAAGGGGCACAGGATTTCTTCTCGGGTGAATGAAAACATTCTAATGTGGACTGTGTGATCGATGCTCAACTCTGTGAATATACCAAAAGGCAATGAATTATATCCTTCCAACGAATGAATTGAACAGTATGTGAATTATATCTTGACAAAGCTGTTTACAAAAACGTGTGTATGAGAGCCCTTTCAACAATAACAAAAACAACAACAATGTAAAGTGGCCCTACAGTGGCAACCTGGGGAATACCAACATTTCAGCAGCAAGAGGAATAAGAAATGCCCCAAAAGAGACAAAGGAAAAAAATAACTGGAAAAGTTTGGGAATGAAGAGAGCTAAGGGAGCAAAAGATGCCTAAATATACAATGTCTCAGGTTTTATTGGGAAAATGAAATTATATCCATACTTATGAAACAGTAAGGAAACCAAAGTATCCAGTTTCTTCAAAAGATCAAAGAAAGACTCTTTACTAAACTTCATGCAAGGTTAAAGTAAATACTAGCTCAAGAACATCTCACAGGAGAGGGATAGCAGTGGGGGCAAAAATCAAGTTATTGGATTTTTATTTTCCAGTGCTTCTTTATCTGAAGCAAGTTTTATCAATTTTATCAAGCGCACGGGATAAATGTAACTCAAAAAACGATCTGACTGAAGTGTGTTCTCCTAGATGGTTCATCACACTTGGTCTTCATTTAGCCTCTGTCAAGAGTAGTTACGTAACCTGTGAAATAAAGGGCACGTAGCAGAGCAGGGCTCCACAGTATTTTTGTGAGTGTGTTGGTTAATTTTCTGTGTCAGCTTGACAGGGCTAAGGGAGGGCCAAACAAATGGTAAAACATTACTCCTGAGTATGTCTGTGAGTATATTTCTAGAAGAGATTAGCATTTAAATCAGTAAACTGAGTACAGAAGATCAATGTAGACAGATTTATTCAATCCTTGAGGGCTCAGAGACAACAAAAAGGCAGAGGATGGGCACATTTTCTTTCTTTCCTTTTCTTTTCTTTCTTTCTTTCTTTTTTTTTTTTTTTTTTTTTTTTGAGACAGTCTGGCTCTGTCACCCAGGCTGGAGTACAGTGGCATGATCTAGGCTCACTGCAACCTCCAACTCCTGGGTTCAAGCAATTCTGTCTGCCTCAGCTTCCCGAGTAGCTGGGATTACAGTCACCTGCCACCACACCTGGCTAATTTACGTATTTTTAGTAGAGGCAGGGTTTCGCCATGTTGGCCAGGCTGGTCTCAAACTCCTGACCTCAGGTGATCCACCTGCCTCAGCCTCCCAATGTACTGAGATTACAGGTGTGAGCCACCCGGCCCAGCCAGAGGATGGGGAGATTTTCTGTCTCTCTCCTTGAATTGGAACATCCATCTTCTCCTATCCTTGGATGTCAGTACTTCTGCTTTTCAGACCTTTGAACTCCAGATTTACACCAGTACCACACCCGTGCCCCCCAGCTTCTTGGACATTAGAACTAGGACTGAATTATACCACTGACTTTCCTGGCTCTCTGGCCTGCAAACAACAGATCACAGGACTTCTCAGCTTCCATAATGAGGAACCAATTCCCATAATAAACTCCTCTTATATATCTATGTAAATCCTATTGATTCTGTTGAAGAAGCCTGATTAATACAGTAAGAAAAATGTGTCTCTGATCTCCCACCTCCTGGAATCTTTGGGGTAAATGAGGTGGGATGGGGTTCTGATGGGTAAGTTCATAAGCAAAGCACTAGTGCTTCATTTCCACTGAGAAGAGGCACAAAATGGGGAGTGAGAGAGACAGGTAGCAGCAACAACTGGTTTGTATGTATGCTGGGGTAAAGTTTTAAATTATTTTGGTAGCTAACAACCAGTAAGATATGGATCCCAGACCCAGCTTATTTTTCAGTGTATTGGTTTGCTAAGGCTGCTGTAACAAAATGTCACAGCATGGGTAGCTTAAACAGAGATGCATTTTCTCACAATCCTGGAAGCTAGAAGTCCAAGATCAAAGTGTTGGCAGGGTTGGTTTCTTCTGAGGCCTCTCTCCTTGGCTTGTTGATGGCTGTCTTCTCCCTGTGTCCCTCTGTGTGTCTGTGGCCAAATTTCTTCCTCTTAGAAGGATCCCAGTCATATGGGATTATCACCCACCCTAATGATTTCATTTCAGTTTAATTACCCTTTTAAAGGTCTTATTTTCAAATACAGTCACATTCTGAAGTGTTGGGGGTTAGGACTTCAACATATGAATTTTTAGGAATGGGGACACAATTGGCTAGGTGCAAGGAATTAGAATTTCAGGGTAAGAATTATTCAATCAATAAATTATTTTACTGTCTTTACGTTTGTTTGAGGAAAACTCCAGGACATGTTTTGGTTTTGTTTTGTTTTAACAAAGTTAATCTAACCCATGCTTAAAAAGTAGGTGGTTCACAATATTCAATCCATTCTGAGAACTGCTGGTGGCCAATGTTGCTGTCAATCATTTCCCTTTGCCCCACTGAGATACTCTCAGGCTCTTTGATGGTAACAGAGGAACAAATAGAGTGCTTTTCCAGATCTCAATGTTGTCAGAGTTGCCTTTGACAACAAGGAAGGAAACCTTGCCTTTCTTGCACTACTTGTGCATAACTCTCAACTCTGAGGCACTGCAAGCAGGAGCAAGAGAGAAACATCAAGGCTGAGCATGGGAGAAACACAATTGTTAATAAAGCCAGGCTGAGCCCCTGAAAATGCAAAGCAAGGAGACTGGGCTTGATTTTAATAGACCTGATTCTGTTCATGTGGCTAGATTTTGTTGCTGAGGACTTTTCCTTTCCTCACTGGATCAAAAGATTGTGAGAGTTAAAAATATAACTCAAGAGTTAAAACTATTTAGTTTACAAGGCTGCGATCATGGAATGAAAAAGAGGGGCCAGGTTTTGGTTTTATGATGTTAGGTGCATTTATGATGTTAGGTGTACCAAGTCTGGTACATTCCTTAACATCTTTACTCTGATCTATTTTTTTTTTCTTTTTTGTCATTGTAGTTATACTTCTTTTTTTTTTTTTTTTTTTTTTTTTTTTTTTTTTTTTGAGACGGAGTCTTGTTCTGTCACCCAGGCTGGAGTGCAGTGTCCCAATCTCGGCTCACTGCAAGCTCTGCCTCCGGGGTTCACGCCATTCTCCTGCCTCAGCCTCCCAAGTAGCTAGGACTATAGGCGCCCACCACGGTGCATGGTTAATTTTTTGTATTTTTAGTAGAGACAGGGTTTCACCGTGGTCTTGATCTCCTGACCTCATGATCCACCTGCCTCAGCCTCCAACAGTGCTGGGATTAGAGGCGTGAGCCACCACGCCCAACCCATTGTTGTTATACTTCTAACATAATTTATGATTTCTTTACTTATTTCATTTACTCTTTATCTCTCTACACGATACTAAAATGTAAATTCCTCTAGGACAGGGATCTCTGTTTCATTCCTTGATCTATCCCAAGCACCTAAAATAGAACTGGTCCCAGAGAAGTCATTGAATAAAGGCTGGTTGAATTAATGAATAAATATATCTCATTAAATGAAGCAAACTGATTTTTTAAAACATGCATTCCAAAATTCTAATTACTTAAATGTGTTGTCCTTTGAAATTGTCACCTTGGGGACTCTGCTTATTCCAATGATGCTATTACTCAAAAACACTTAGACTCTTTAAAGCCCCAGTTTATGAGCCACACAAGAAATTAGTCTTATTACCTTATATAGTTTACTCTTCACAATAACCATCATTTTTCAATGTGATTATCTATTTTCTTTATTGAAATTTGTCCTTTTAGTTCTTCTCTCAAGTCAAACCCATCCTGAAAGGATG